TTGTCCTCACACCGGTCACTGGTAAAGCCCAGCACCAACCAGGCATTTTCCAGCTCAGCCGCTCTGTCTAAAACCATGCTGCAGCTAAACATTATTTAATCAGTGTGTGTCAGAGAGAGAATCTGTAAAAGGTTGTGAGTGCAAGGTTTGAAAGTGGTGTGTGAGTGTGAGAGTGTGTCAGTGTGTGTGTGAGAGTGTGTGAGTGTGTGAGTGTGAGAGTGAGAGAGAGTGTGTGAGTGTGAGAGTGAACAAGTACTGCCACTTCAGCTGGGCGGTAACAGAACTCCTGTAAAAGGTGATGGCTTCAAATGTTTCAATTCATACAGTTAACACACATTATTAAGATCAAACCAGTAGGAAATGTAAGATATGATCAGAAATAGAACATTTCAAGATTTCATGGGACATAAAAAGGTAAAGAAAATGTTTTAACAAAATGAATAATGTGACTTGGCAGATCTTGGCAGTGCGGATGGGGCAGGGTTTGTAAGGAGCATCCAGGAGGGCTTCTTGAAACAGTATGTAGATAGTCCAACTAGGAAAGGGGCCGTACTGGACCTAGTATTGGGGAATGAGACTGGCCAGGTGGTCGATGTCTCAGTAGGAGAGCAGCTCAGGAACAGTGATCACAATTCAGTCAGCTTTAATGTACTGATGGATAAAGATAGGTGTAGTTGTCAGGTGAAGGTGCTAAATTAGGGGAAGGCTAGTTACAACAACATTAGGCAGGAACCAAAGAATGTAGATTGGAGGCAGATGTTTGAGGGCAAATCAACATTCGCTATGTGGGAGGCTTTCAAGTATAAGTTGCTGGGAACTCAGGACCGGCATGTTCCTTTAAGGATGAAGCATAAGAATGGCAAGTTTAGGGAACCTTGGATAACGAGAGATATTGTGAGCCTAATCAAAAAGAAAAAGGAAGCATTTATCAAGGCTAGGAGGCTGGGTACACACAAAGCAAGGGTGGAATACAAGGAAAGTCGAAAGAAACTTAAGCAAAGAGTCAGGAGGGCTAAAAGAAGTCATTAAAAGTCATTGGCCAACACGATTAAGGAAAATTCCAAGGCTTTTTATACATATACACAGATTAAGAGGGTAGCCAGGCAGAGGGTTGGCCCACTCAAGGACAGGGAAGGGAATTTATGTGTGGAGCCAGAGGAAATGGGTGAGGTATTAAATGTGTACTTTGCATCAGTATTCACCATAGAGAAGGACTTGGTGGATGATGAGTCTGGGGATGGGTGTGTAGATAGTTTGGGACATGTTGAGATCAAAAGGGAGGAGGTATTGGGGTCTTGAAAAACATTAAGGTAGTCAAGTCCCCCGGGCCTGATGGGATATACCCCAGAACTGAGAGAGGCAAGGGAGGAAATCGTTGGAGCCTTGAGGGAAATCTTTGTATCCTCACTGGCTACAGGGGAAGTCCCAGAGGATTGGAGAATGGCCAATGTTGTTCCTTTATTTAAGAAGGGTGGCAAGGATAATCCAGCTAATTACAGGCCAGTGAGCCTTACGTCAGTAGAAAGGAAATTACTAGAGAGGATTCTTCGAGACAGGATTTACTCCCACCTGGAAATCAATGGGCGTATTAGCGAGAGGCAACATGGCTTTGCGAAGGGGAGGTCATATCTCACTAACTTGGTTGAGATTTTTCAGGAAGTGATGAAGATGATCGATGAGGGTAGGGCAGTGGATGCTGTCTACATGGACTTCAGTAAGGCCTTTGACAAGGTCCCCCATGGCAGGCTGATACAGAAGGTAAGGTCACACGGGTTCAGAGGTGAGCTTGCAAGATGGATAATAAAACTGGATCGGTCATAGAAGACAGAGGGTAACAGTGGAAGGGTGCGTTTCTGAATGGGGGGCTGTGACTAGTGGCGTTCCTCAGGGATCAGTATTGGGATCATTGCTATTTGTAATATATATAAATGATTTGGTGAAAAATGTAACTGGTCTGATTAGTAAGTTTGCCGATGACACAAAGATTGGTGGAATTATGGGTAGCGATAAGGACCGTCAAAGAATACAGTAGGATATAGATCAGTTGGTGACTTGGGCAGTGAGATGGCAGATGGAGTTTAATCCGGAAAAATGTGAAGGAATGCATTTTGGAAGGTCTAATCCAGATGGAAAATATACAGTAAATGGCAGAACCCTTAAGAGTACTGATAGGTAGATGGATCTGGGTATACAGATACACAGGTCACTGAAAGTGGCAACGCAGGTGGAAAAGGTAATGAACAAGACATATGGCATGCTTGCCTTCATCGGCCGGGGCACTGAGTTTAAAAATTGGCAGATAATGTTGCAGCTTTATAGAACCTGAGTTAGGCCACATTTGGAATATTGTGTTCAATTCTGGTCGCCACACTACCAGAAGAATGTGGTGGCTTTGGAGAGGGTACAGTAAAGATTTACCAGGATGTTGCCTGGTATTGAGGGCATTAGCTATGAGGAGAGGCTGGAGAAACTTGGGTTGTTCTCACTGGAATGATGGAGGTTGAGGGGGGACCTGATAGAGGTCTACAAGATTATGAAGGGCTTGGACAGAGTGGATAGGCAGAAGCTTTTTCTCAGGGTGGAAGAGTCAGTTACCAGGGACCATGGGTTTAAGGTGTGAGGGGTAAGGTGTAAAGGTGATGTATGAGGCAAGTTTTTTACACAGGGTGGTGGGTGCCTGGAACTCGCTGCCAGGGGAGGTAGTGGAAGCAGATACGATAGTGGCTTTTAAAGGGTGTCTTGACAAATACATGAATAGGATGGGAATAGAGGGATACGGTTCCCGGAGGGGTAGGGGGTTTCAGTTGTGACGGGCAGCATGTCGTTACAGGCTTGGACGGCCGAAGGGCCTGTTCCTGTTCTGTAATTTTCTTTGTTCTGTCTAGAGTTTGCTTGTTAAGCAGGGACTGCAGGACACCAGCTGGGTCTATAATCTCTTTCTTGCCACATCTTTACTGACTTCAGTCAAGCAGCTCACTCCCAATTACAGCTTCTGTTTTCTAGTAATCTAAAAATAAATTGTATATCACCATGTCAGGTTGTACCTATAGACATCCTTCGCCATTTATGCTCCAGCTGTATTGGTTCAGTGAGAAACCAGCCTAGCTGGCTCTTGAAAAGCCCAGTTGGAAGCTCTGTCGATGCTGGGGAAGGTCATAGTTCTGAGCACAGTGACCCCCACATCAGACACTCACATCAGAAACAAGGCCACTTCAGTCTTCACTCAGTCTTTGATGGTTTCCTGCTCTGTCTTACATAAATTGTGAATTCCCTGAGGGGATAACTTGACCCTTGTGGCAAATGTGGATCAATAGAGTATCTCACATGGACAGTATCACAGCTCATCCTGTTCTGTCACCACCTGAAGTTCATACATGCACATGCAAATACAGATACGTTACAGCTCAGAGCACTCCTGTATTCAAGAGGAACATCTCAGCTGACTTTCCTCATTCCAGCTCTTTAAGATTAACTGTGTAGCTCCTGTCACGACCTCAGTCACCAACAGCAATGGTGACATAGTCCATGGTTGGAATATGAGATCTTCCTGCTTTATCTCCTAACTACGCAGAGACAGACTCAATCTCTATGCCAGAAGTATGCTTTTACTGGAATCAGTAGTTTCTTCCGACCCTTTATCCTGGCTTACTTCTTGGGTAGAATTGCAGCGGGAGGACATATTGAGGATTCGTTTCTGCTGATTGTTTTAGGCAGATAAAAATACAAATGGCCCATACCTGGTCTGAGTGTGTATGTGTCCTGCCTGCAGACGGCCCTTTGGTTAATGCTTCATCATGACCTGTTTCCTGGACAGTTTTTGTCAGTGTTGGTTTATTCTTGTCTCTGACTGTCGTGGCAGAGGGAGGAGACAGAGCCCATGACCACCTTAGCTCATGGTGGTGACAGGTGCAGGGTGCGTGGAATCGTCTTAATTGGCCCACACAGCACTTTCTGACCTGAACTGATACAGCCAGAGTGACTGAAACTCCTAGGTGTGTAAGTAGGGATCTGACTGCCTGGTGTGACTGTACCTGGGCCCAGTCTCCCTGGAGAGGGAGCAAGTATTGTCCAGAGCTACTGTCAGGGGCAGCCCAGGATATACAGTGAGGATAATATTAGATAATCTCTTTGTTTGATCAGACTTTTGTATTAATTATTGTATTAAAGGCGGCTCCTCAGATGAGAGAACACGTTGTGTTTGTAGGTTGGTTACTGACCCAGCACTGTAGCATCATCCTGTTTGGTGTGATCACATCAGACACAGTCACCCAGAATATCAGCTCCTGTAGAACATATTCAGGAAAGCAATGATGGAAATACTCAGCAGGTCTGGCAGCATTTATGTAGAATAAGAGAGTTAACATTTCAGGTCAGTGACCTATTCACAGAACCAGGAACTGTTAGAAAAATTATAGCTGCTATGCAGATGAGATGAGTGCAGAAGGAACAAAGGAAACATTTGTGATATGGGCAGAAGATGGGAGACACCAGGTGACAAGTACAGAGCCAAAGGGAATGGGAAATGAACTAAAAGTATGTCCAGAGGAGGTGTGAATGGCAGAATGATGAGTAACTGCAATCCAAAAGCAAAAACACGATTACAATTGAAATGTAAAGAAAGGAAACAAAATGGGGACAGGGATTCTGATTTGAATTGTTAGCCTCTTAGTATTGAGTCCAGAAGGCAGTACAGTGCTGAATGGGAACATGAGGTGCTCATTCCTCAGCCTCATTGAAAAAACATAGGAGGTCAAGGATAGAGATATTGGTATCAGAATTAAAATGACAGGCCACCGGAATGGTCATGCTTATGGTGATGTTCGATAAACAGAGGGATTCTGCAAAGCTGCATCACCCAATCTGAATGTGGTCTCCCCACCATGAGGAGACCATTTTGGCAGCACTTTATTGCCTTCTGGGCTCAACACTGACCTCAACCAGAATCAGACCACAATCTCTGCAATGGTTTACAGTGTTCATCATCAGCCCTAAACTGGTGCTGCTTTTGGATGATTGCTGTTTATTATTCAACCAATCACACCGATCACACAACTTGTCAATGTTGTTTTGAAATTACACACTGTCCTGCTCCTCCCAAGTTTGTAATTCTTTCAAATTTTGTGTCATCTGTACACTAAGATCGAGATCATTTATAAAAATGAGGAAAAGCAAGAGACCCAGGATGGACCCCTGGAAACCTGGTGACAATCTTTACTCCAGCCTGAACTATTACTCTGTATCCTATCACTCAGCCAGTTTCATGCCCTATGGACACTCCTTTGTTTATTTACATGTCCCAGTCCCAATACTTTCAGCCCATCAATAATAACTCTTTTGACATTGAATCTATCCTGCCCCCTGTTCTTTCACAACACACCTTGCTTTTTTTCCCCAGCTGCCCCATTTCAGAAACATTTCCCAGTTTTGATGTAAGGTTATGACCTGGGACATTAGTTCTGTCTCTGAGTTTTTCTGACACTTGCTGTTTATATTTCAGATTTCCAGCGCTCACATTATTTTGTTGTTGGACACGGAAAGTTCCACCTTCCTGTATTCATCAGATACTGTGATTGTGAATTAATTTGTTCTGTGCTGACAAACAGAGAAGCCTGGGGGCCTTAGAACAGAAATCAGTTTAGTTTTTCTAACTTGTGTCGAGCAGTTCCAGGAACGGCGCAGTGGATTCACATTCAAAGTGATTGCCTTCTGCAAAATCCCAATCACGCATATTCACAGCAACTTCATTGCACATCATGATCTTTCCATTGCCTGCACACGTTCTTTTGCTGCTGCTGGATCCCAGGACCGTTTCCAGCGGAACTGAGTGATACCAACCTGCTTCACTTTGCCCTCAGCACTGACCACAACCAGCTTCTGAGCAGGGTTGAATAGGTGAATCTAGTCACAGCTCACATAAAAAAAGAAAATGGGAATTCCACAACAAGATCCAATAAAGGTTCCCCAGAGAGTGCTGCAGTGTATGTTACCATTTCGTCAAGTGTGATTGTCAATTTCACACAATATCAACCAGGGGTTTTGTGTTGTGGAATTACACTGACACGGAGCCAAAATGTCCCAAACCCACCCCATATAGCACACAAGGCACTGATGCCAACAAAGGCTTTCACTTGTACTCAGGGCTAGAAGGACAATGTGCTATGCCACTGTGCTCCTCAGACTTTGACGCTTTTAGAAATGGAGCTGTTTCCTGTTGCTGAACAGTAATTGAAATATTTAAACACAACGATCAAAATGGAAATTACGTACAGAGGTTACAATGTCCAGGATATCACAAAATTCCGAAAGAAAGTCCTCAGCAGACACAGAGGAAGATAGCAGAGATTTTCTAGAAAGTCTTCAGATTGGTTGCAGTGTAGAACAGATTGACTCCATTGCAAATAACACAGATCAGGTTACATACCATGGACAGGACATGGTACTTCACAAAGCTCCGGCAGAGTCTCAGGTATTTGGGGTCCTTCTTCTTCAACCTTTTGTAGGGCTCTCGGTTAGTCCCAAACCCAATCTCCTGCCCCAAGTGGTGTTCCTTCTCAATCTCATGCATCTTAAACATAATTTCTGATGTTGTCTGACCAAACCACTGGGCATTGAGTGCGGAGAAAATCACACAGACGAAAAAGGATGTTATCTGTGAGAAAACAGGAATGACTAGGAGTGAGATGAATTACATTCACATGGATTCCAATCAGTTTTCCCTGAGCCCACACATCTCCTGCAGAAGAGAGGACAGACTCTCCACCCCAGCTCTGGTTCAGTCATGCTAGTTTTCAGCACACATCCACAAGGAGTTAATGAAAAGGAGCTGTCTCTGCTGGCAGCATGGGAGGTGCAGACACAGATGTGGCACCCCTACAGCACTCTCCTAGGAGAGTGGACAGCCTCCATGAGTTGACATCTTGCTCTGGAATTCCAGTTATACAGGAGCATGCAAGTGAGAAACCCGGGGCTATCAGAGACAGAGCTAGATTCATTGGAACTGATTGGATTTGGTTAGTAATCCCCAGGTCATAATGGATTTGATCCTAAAGTCTTGGTTTGCTAAGGGGATAGTACACATTGGTATTCATTTGTACAAAAAAATCCTTAGATTCAGGAAAGCAGTCTAGAAAGAAGCAATGTAACCTTGTTACTGAAGAAGGGAGGGAGGAAAACAGGAAATGATAGGTCAATTATCTTGACGTCTGTCATGGGGGAGGGTGTTGTATTCAATTATTAAAGAGGTTATAACTGGGCGCTTAGAAAAACTCAAAATAATCATGAGAAGTCAGCAGGGTTTGTCAAAGGGAAATCATACTTAACCAATTTATTGGAGTTCTTTGAAGGAGTAACATGTGCTGGATAAAAGGCCAACTGAATACAGGCTGTACTTGGATTTCCAGAAGATATTTGAAAATGTGCCACATCAAAGGCTGTGGGGTATCATGATGTAGGGATAACACTTTGACTTTTGGCTGGCTGACAGGAAACAGACAACATACGTAAAAGGGTCTTTGTCTGATGTGGCAAATGGAGTCCTACACATTCTGTGCTGTGGCTGAAACTTTTTCCAATTCGCATCAATGTCTCAGATGAGGGGAGTGACAGCATGATGGCTGCATTTGCAGGTGACCCTGAGAAAGGTAGGAAAGTTGTGAAGATGACATAAGGACATTACAGATAGATATAGTTGGGTTGAATAAGTGGGTAAAAATTGGAGTATCATGTGGGAATATGTGAAGTTGTTCACTTTGGCAAGAAGATTTTAAAAAATCAGGGTATGACTTAAATGCAGGATGACTGTGAAATTTTGAGGGAGAGAAAGGTTTAGGTGTTCTAGAGCAGGAAACACTAGAGGTTAGATGCAGATACAGCACATTATTATGAAGGCTATTGGGACACCATCCTTTATTACAAGGGGAATTGAACATTAAGGATGTTCTGCTTTAGTTGTATCGGACATTGGTGAACCCACATCTCCTACACTATGTGCAGTTTTGGTCTCCTTATTTAAGGAAGGATGTTAAATCATTGGAAGTGGTTCAGAGGAGGTTTACAAGACAGAGTGACTGGGTTGTCTTATGAGGAAAGGTTGGACAGGCTGGGATTGTTTCCACCAGAATTCAGAAGCATGAGGGGTGACTTGATTGAAGTGTATAAGATCCTGATTGGTTTTGATAATGTGGACGTGGAAAGGATGTTTCGTCTTGTGGTTCAGTCCACAACTAGGAGGGACTGTTTTAAAATTAGGAGTCAACCTTTTGAGGACAAAGATGAGGAGAATCCTTTTTCTTTCAGAGGGTTGTAAATCTTTGGAACTCCTTACCTCAGAAGGCAGTGGATTCGGGATCATTAAAGTATTTCTAAGGCTGGGGTAGAGACAAATCGATTCCCTCACTTAGCAAAACTTAAGGTTATTGTGGATAAATGGGAAATGTGGAAGTCGAAACACCAACAGCCTTGAAGGACTGAAAAGCCCACTTCCAGCTCCTTTTTCATATGTTCTAACTCCTTGCCCGTTTATCGTAGAATTATTTTTCCACCCTAATTTGACAAATTTTCAGTAAATACACTTTGTGTTGACTTCGTTGATAAAGTTAGTGAACTACAGAAAATGGTCCTGCCCTCTGCCCTCCCTGTGTTAAGTTTAACTGATTCCAGCCATGGGAATGAGGGTGAACAATATAATTGATCTCAACACTCCTGGGCTGGGGTTTGGCAGGACAATCATCTGGGGATCTCTCTCCTGTTCACTATCCACTGGTTCCTGTTGGAATGTGAACAGGGATACTAAAGGAAGGTTGTATGTGTCAATTGTTGTGTGATTATCTCTTGCGTGAGAACTGAGGAGACAAGTGACAGGCAGAATCTTGAGCAGCAAGATTCCGAATCTTCAGAAGAGCAGGAGAAACAATTAGAAACTAAAGCAACTATCTATTTTTGTATGTGGTCTCCGAGTCACTATATCTTATCTTTACAGCATCTGTACATTGTCTCTCAGTTACCTGAACAGTTTCATCATTGTTGAGTAACTCATGTGGGTGATACAAGGCATAGAGAGCCAGATTGAGGAATGAGCCTCCGAGGACAGAGTAGAGATAGTAAGGAAACAGACTGCCTTGAACCAAGCCAAACGTATGTCTGCTAACACTGTTAATCAGAACAAAACCTGAGGAGAAAGAACAGATTTAAAACTATAAACTCTGACACTACCTCATGGACAAAGCTACAGATTCAAAGTCCCAATCGCAAGGTTTAGAACCGATGTCAAGAAAATCTTCTTTACATATAAAGATGCTTCTAGCAGTGATGTAGAGGTGAAAATCATTTCAGTAACAACAGAATGCTGCGAGGAAGGTGGATGGGGAGGGAGTAGCAAGTGTATTTTCAGACGGGCCAAATAATCTCAATCAATCGTCATTATCTTGTGACTCTCTCCAATTCCTCTTCCCTTTCAATCTGCTGTCTATACTTGCTGGTGCTCAGACCAATGCAGCTGAGACCAGGAACACTGGGCTGCAGTCTCAGTTTGTCACTGCAATCTGCGAGAACCATCAGATACCAGCAAACACAAACCTGCACGTCACGTGCTTTTGGGCACAACTCTCAGCTTTAAGAGCTTTCCAGGACAGGATAGAACTGAACAACAACTCCAGGATTGCTAATGATTTGCTATGATCTGCCTGCACTGCTTGCAAAATAAAGCTTTTCACTGTACCTCGGAACATGTGACTGCAATAAATCAAATTAAATCAAATCACAATATCAAGCTACATTCTGTTTTAAAGAAAATACATCTTTAAAGAATATGTAACAAAATCATATAAATATTAAAAATCATTTCATAAATAAAATGAACTGCCAATTTTGTGAGACAGATTCAGATGATAATTTGTGATCAAAAGACTTAAATAGTTCACAGCAAAAGTACACAACCTGATTAACTCTGCAATGTGCTCTTTCACATCTTACCCGATATGAACGAGACCCATATCTGCATACCCCAGGAGGTAGACAGTATAATCAGATGGGCTGTTTTGACTAGGTTAGTTGGATCTCCTTCTGTTGGCATTCTGTTATCTCGACAAGCCCTGTTTTATTACAATCAAAAAGAAAAATTAGTTTAATCCAATTTACTTTCTTAACTCCAGTATTCACCTCTCCTAAGATGTCAAATTTTGTTGGTGACATGATAACCAGAAGCTGGCACCCGTCCAGAACTGTGTCCAAGTGAAAAGATTTATTAAAGAAAAGCTTCTATTTTAAAATAAATGTAAAAGACTGCAGATGTCAGAAATCAGAAATAAAAGTAGAAAATGCAGAGCGAGTCAGGCAACATCTGTGGAGAGAGAAACTGTTCATGTTTCAGGGCTGTGATCTGTTATCTGAAATGAATCGTCATCTCTCCCAATCCTAGGTGCTATTTTTCATGTGTCAGTCTTGACTTGATGGTAATATACGTATGTCACAGCTAGGAGGTTGTGGGTCCTTGCCCCACTTCAGAGACTTGACTCTATAATGTTGGCTGACACTTCCACAAAATGGGCACAGTCAACTACTGTTTGTGTGAGGAAACTTTTTGCTGTTACGAAAGCACTTTATATTTAATATTTCATTTGAGGGCTTACATTTTGTAGGATTGTGAAATGGATTTATCCCAGGTTTTGTGGCAACATATGGATTGGTTTCTGTAGTAGAAATCACTGTGAACATTTTTTTCTTAAATAGGACTTGTGCAGGAAACACAGTAAATTCTTTCAATCACTCTTCCAGAATGCTGGGACTGGAGGATTTAAGTTATAAGGAGAGGCTGGATAGGCTGGGACTTTTTTCACTGGAGTGTAGGAGGTTGAGGGATAACTTTATAGAGGTTTATAAAATCATGAGGGGTATAGATAAGGTGAATGCCAGGTGTCTTCACCCTAGGGGGGGGGATTTCAAGACTAAGGGGCATAATTTTAAGGCAAGAGGAGAAAGATTTAAATAAGACACGAGGGGCTTTTTCTTTTGCACAGAGAATGATTTGTGTGTGGAATGAACTTCCAGAGGAATTGGTGGATGCGGGTACTGTTACAATGTTTAAAGGACATTTGGATAAGTTTACGAACAGGAAATGTTTGGAGGGATATGGTCCAAATGCAAGCAGGTGGGACAAGTTTAGTTTGGGATTATGGTCAATATGGACTAGAAGGACTCAAGGGTCTGTTTCTGTGCTGTATGCCTCTGTGAGTCTATAACAAATAGGCTGCATTTTGAACTCACACCGAGAGTGTTTTTTTCAGAAACAGAAGAGTTCAGCCGGCTAGTATCTTCCTCTCAGGCCTTTCCTCCCCAACTGAAGACGAGAACACACTCCAAGCCAAACACTGTCCAAACAGCTGCTGCAGGACTTCCTAGAGATCACATGATTTGATAACTGGCTTTTTTTTTCTGGAGACCTCCTGCAGTGGCTCTTTTGACTGCACTGTGTATGTTTGCCTGCAGTTACATGGAAAACTCTGAGCACATGTGTGCGATGCATAGATAACAAATGCTGAGAGGCATGAGGTTATACTGAATGTCTCCTCCCATTCCTCTGGTGGCACTGACTGATCAAATTCACAACTATCTCTTCCCTGACATCTAGCAGTACTTTCTAGGTGAAATCACCTGGCACAGGAGTGGCACAGAGTGAGCCATCTACACCTGGAGCCCTCTGACTAACTCAACAAGAAACAACGTGACTGACTATTGAGAAGGATCTACATCATCAATCTCACCATTATTGACATCAGATCACAGCCAGTCCTGCAACAGGTTCCTGAATCCACATGGTTAACGAGGTGCGGGTGATGGTTGGGGTTACTGAAACTGTTACAGACGACGTTGTGGAGTGACTCTACGCTGTCTCTAGCCTGGGAATGCTGTCCCATGTCTCAGTGACCAGAATCATTTACAGTGTTGCCTGACTGCAGCCCCTTTCAGTCTGACCACAATTGCTTTTAGCTGTCGGCTCAAGATTCTGTTTGGTCACCAATCTGAATCATTAACTCTGTTTCTCTCGACAGATGTTGTGTAGATTACAGATTCTGTTTTGATTTCAGATTTCCAGCTTTCAAGCTTTCACTGAAGGATGGTCCACATCAACAAACTTTTATAGTAACCACTAACAATATAAACTCTTCATTGGACATATTACTAGGATTAGGTTCGGCACGTATCTCATGGAGTTCAGAAGAATAAGAGGTGAACTTATTGAAACATACAAGATGCTGAGGGGTCTGGACAAGGTGAATGCCAAGAGAATGCTGCTGCTTGAGGGACAGACTGGAAGTAGGTACGTCATTTAAAGATAACAGGTCTTGCATTGGAGACTGAGATGAAGAGAAATGTGTTCTGTAACGGTTTGGTAGTCTTTGGGACTCCTCACGAGAGAGTGCGCTGGAGGCAGATTCTTTGGTCCAGGGGTAGTAGGAACTGCAGATGCTGGAGAGTCTGAGATAACAAGGTGTAGAGCTGAATGAACACAGCAGGCCAAGCAGCATCAGAGGAGCAGGAAGGCTGACGTTTCGGGCCTAGACCCTTCTTCAGGAAATGGGGGAAGTGAAGGGAGTTCTGAAATAAATAGGGAGAGACGGATACGAGGGAGTTGCAGTGGGAGAGAGATCCACTGAGGTCTTTCCAGAGGGAGGAGGGTAACCGCCTCCCACTCTCTCCCTGTTTATTTCAGAACCCCCTTCCCCTCCCCCATTTCTGATGAAGGGTCTAGGCCCGAAACATCAGCTTTCCTGCTCCTCTGATGCTGCTTGGCCTGCTGTGTTCATCCAGCTCTACACCTTGTTATCTCTCTTCATTGGTGCAGGAGTCTGATTGCTGGAGATTAGATGAGGGTGGGCAGTGGAAAAGTGAAGAGGCGGGGTCAAAAAGGGAGGGGCGGGGTCAACAAGGGAGGGGCGGGAACGTGTTGGAAGGGACAGTAAAAGGGCGTGACCAGAGCGGAGGGGGCGGGACAAGGGCGTGACCAGAATGGAGGGGGCGGGAGCACGAGTGGAGGGGGCAGCACAAGGGGGGGGTCCGGGGGGGAGGGGGGCGGGGCAATGGCGGGGGCCTGTTTGGGCGGGTCACCTGACCCAAAACGTTAACTCCGATTTTTTTCTTCACAGATGCTGCCAGACCTGCTGAGCAACTTCTGTTTTTGTTTCAGGTTTGAAGGAGCTGGTTCAAGTTGAAAGTGGCAGGATCAGGAGCACACACCGTCACACGGTCGCGTGAAGCCCGGACGGTCAACTGTCAGCGGTAGCCGGAAGTTGGGAGGGAAGTGGACATTTGAAGGGTTTTGGGAGAAGGTGCGGATGCTCGCCCGAACTGTTTTTAACTGACGCTAATTGGCCCTGAAGCTCTCAGCTGGTCGGCTGTCTGACAGCTTCTCTCACTCACCTGCTGCGTGCTTCAGTCACCGAGCCGCAACCACTCTTGCTTGCCCCTGATTGACAGGTGCGGCCTTCAATAGACAAATAGCCTTGGTGTGATTGACATGAAACATGCCCGGGCCTTCCGGCAATGGAGCCAATGGTGGGCAGGTAGGCGGAGCTTCCGGTCTCCCCGGTCAAAGTTTGGTTGAGAGACTTCTCGGCAGCCCCGCCCTCTGTCGGTCTTACGGAGGCTCCTGTGTAACAAACCATTCAGCGCCGACGTAATGCGTTTGTATTTAATTACACGGTTTGAAGTCTGGTGGTGGTGCAAAGCTACTACAGGTAAGTGAATCAGGGCAGCATGGAAAAATAATCAAAAGATATAACTTTAGGAACAGAGAATTTTAGTTTAAATTGTTTCTGTGCCTAAAAGAAACCTTGCAAGTTGAATATTCGTTATAGTTGCATTGTAGTCATAGAACTTCTAACTATAGGGTCATACTTCTTAATTTGACACTGATTTGTGTTTTTTTGCATATCTTCAAATCAAGTGAGTTAGTGAATGATTGATGGTTCCTGTAAACTGTAAAACATCTCCAAATACCACACCATGAAACTGGACAGGTCTCATTGATCCTTCATAGCTGCTGGGTCACAATCCTGGAATTCCTCAATGTGCACCATAGGAAATAGCAGCAGGAGGTAGCCTAGTGGTATTATTGCTAAACTATCAATCTAGAGACCTAGGTAATGTTCTGGGGACTTGGGTTTGAAACTTGCTGGGACAGATGGTAGAATTTTTAATTCAAGAATAATCTGGAATTAAGAGTCTAATGATGACCATGAATCCATTGTCAATTGTCAAGGAAAGACCCATCTGTTTCGCTAATGTCCTTTATGGAAGGAAATCTGCCATCCTTACCCGGTCTGGTGATTCCCTACTGCCCTCTCAGCAATTAGGGATGAGCAATAAATGCTGGCCTAGCCAGTGGCTCCCACGTCTCGTGAATGAACTAAAAAGAAAAGGTAACTTATTCGGTCCCTTGAGAGTGTACTGCCATTCAAATTGATCAGAACTGATCTCTTATCTCCGTTCTATCCCTGTATCCCTTGATAGCTTTAATTTACCAGGGAGTACTTCCAGCACACAACTGTAGCAGTTTTAGAAGGCATCTTTTCAGGCTAACTAGGAATGGGCAATAAATTAACCACACATCAGGAATAATTTTCCTTCAAATTCAGTGTGAACCAGTGATGGGACAGTAGTTTGGCAAACAGACTAGTCAGGCACCCATTTCAAAGCAGGTGACAAGCAGAACCAAGTGACACCTGTCCTGTTAGACTTCAGTACTATTCAATATAATGGCATGAGTGAAAAATCAGGATCATAATGACCTAATGAACAGCAGTTAACATGAACAGACAAGGGATATATCCAGTTTGACTCACCTCCCTATCACCCCTTGATGTGATTTTTCCTTAGCTGCCAAAAATAAGTCCCTAAATGGAACCCAAAGCTGTGAAATTCAGTGTAAAAGTTAGGACTCGATAAGATATATAAGCAATACTTCCCAAACTATATAACATTTGAAAGTTATGAACATGATCCCCAATGGCAACAGAAGCAAAACATCATAATGACATTTAATATATAATTATTAAAGTTTGAAATATGGTATACCATTATAAATATGAAAATCTGTGTTTTAAATGAATTTATTAAAAACAGTTATTATTTTATGTATTAACCCGCCCATTACTTCATCTGATCCAATCTGTGGAACTTGATGAGGAAGCAATGAATACTGTTGATGTTAACATTTGCATTCAGCATTACTTGATTTATAGCAAATCAAGTTGCCTAAAGGACAACATGACATCATTGATTTTAATGTGCTACAAATTCCCAAATAAACTTTTATTTTTCTTCTGAGGGGATCGGTCTTTCTCTCATCTCTCAATTTACCCTCACTCCCTCCTCAACGCACACACAAGCAGAGGTCACTTTCTCAGGGATACCTAGGGATGGACAATAAAGGCCAGCAACACTCACATTCTATGAGTAAATGACCCCCACTCCCCTTACCCATACACTTAATCACCCTCACCAACATAGAGTTTATCAGCCTCATCACCGCGCACACATAGGTCAGGCAGCAGGGTTTGTGGGGAACTTGAGCTCTGAAAGTAACATCTTTCAGTGTTCTTGAGAAGAAGGCTACCAATGCAGAGGATGGACTCAGTCGAAAGATTCAATAGGAGAAGGGTAGCAGTTTATTTCACTTCAATAATGTGCAGATCATAACAATAAAGCTCAACGTGATTAAATGAAACCAAGATTCATGAATGAATGAGGAGGGTCAGAAGCTGCCTGCACCTCGTTGCTGGTGTGTTTTGGAGAAAGAGCAGCTCACAATTGAATTTGCTGTAATTGCTGTAATTTCTGTAATCCACTGGGCTCAAAGTTAAAGAAGGGTAGGTACCTGTTAGAGATGTTATGTCAAGCTGGGAGAGAAGAGGGAGTGCTGAGTAGAGTAACTTGGGGATAAAGCGTTTCTACTCTATATGATCACATTGCAAATTTGTGGAGTTTGTAATATTACACTCAATCCAGGAAAAGCAGTCACTTATGAAGAGATAGTGAACAAAATGTGAATGTAGGCAGAGTCATGTGACATTTAACACAGGCAAACAAGACGTATTACGCAGGAAAAAATAACCAACATACTGTAAGAATAATGAGCTGCCGTGTAACATACATGATAGATTCATCCTCATGGCTCACTCTGTCCACATGTGTACGGGAGTGTTGCAGACACGTGCAAGTTGTTTTATGTCCTATTTTAACAACAATTGCTGGCCTGTACAACATGAACTGGCGAAATGATTGAGTGAATTACTTTAGCCAGTTTTTAACAAATTTTGCACATATGAAGACTGTACGTAACCTACATTTAAATAGCAAGGCATTTTCTATGTGTTGCTCTGATATTGCAATCTCATTTACATTTGTGCTGCTAAAGAAAACGTTGATATTTGCTCACATCATCACATAACAGCAAAGTAGACAGTTCTAGTTTCTGAATCCTTATTCATTAAAATTATGAACTTAGCAATTATTGTAGCTGAGTTCAGTTTTAATGACACAATTCCCAATTTGATGGTGTAGATGTGGGATATCTTCTAGATCCAGCACTCACTAACATTTTAGATGGTTTCTGCAAGAAACGCATTTTACTCAAACACCTACAGTGTGCATATTCTGAATAAATAGATGGTACATTTGTGACCTTTGAGTCTGCATCACTTGAAGGGAATTTCTGATACACCTTAATACACTCCATTCCATGCTCCAATTCACTTGACATTGAGAAGTCCTTTCCTCAAAACACTATTTAGAAATCCAATAGTAGGTTCTCCATCATTGTCTACAGCAGCTGTACCTTCACTGGTCAACATGCATGTTAGGATTTGTATAGCTGCATCCACTAAGATTGACCCAGTCAGCAATCTTGTAAATAATGCCCTAGACCTTTACAAGTTTGTTACAGAAGTAGAGCACATTAGAGCCATTCTAATGTCAGTGGATATTCTGATCACTGAATCCACAAACCTGCATACAAGTCAAAGTTGTCTATCTTCAGACTTTAATAATGCTTGCGCTGTCTCGTTATCCTCATGAAGCCATTGCACACTGCTACAATACAGTGCCTCCATGAGTGATATTCCCCACAAGCAGGATCCTGCCATCTATCCAAAATGGAGCATTACTGTGTAAGAATTTCAGTGTTGGTGTAATGTCAGGTACAAAAGTTGTACATTCCAGTGATCAGTTGATCATATTGAGCAGCATTTTACTTAGTTGTTTATTCCAGGCAGAGCACAGATTGAACTTAGTCAGCCGGTAATTGCAAAACCCAAAGCAAAATATCTACTGTTAGATGTGATTCCTGAACTCAGCAGTAATTGCTGAAGCATTCTGAATACGCTAACAACTATGCTAAAAACCAATTTATTAACCAGCCAAACTCATGATATTGTTCATTTATGCTTGCCAGCAGTGACACAAATTCATTGTTCTCTGTAAAAGCTCAAGCTTTGCATCTTTTTTGACTTGCACAGGAGCTTAGGGAAACTAGAGTTCCCAATGCTTTCTCCACTGGAATGATTTGATTAAACACAGATGACTTACCAACCAATCAACATCCCTTTTATTGCAACATAAATTGTGATTATTTGAAATGTGCCAATCTTGTATGTCCTGATGAGTGCAAAACAAAAAGACGTGCATCTTACTTCAGCAAGTTACAAATGAGTTTAGCAGGTTCAACACCCCCAATGCAAATAAAATGCTGAACCAAACTGTAAAACCAGAGGAACTCCTTCTGGAATTCAGTGGAGGTTGATCCAATCATGAGCAGTGTACCCAGTTCTTCTCCGTAAAATATAGGGGAAACATTCAGGAACTGGTGATTAAGTGAAGAGACAGGAGGCTGGTGTGGCTATGAGCAGTCTGGGATAGTGAATAAGGTATGTAAATGAGATGTGAAAGAAGAAATCTAGAAAGTAACTTCAAATTAAGTTGGGAAAGCAGTATAACAGCAAACGCAGGTACAAATTAGCAGAAATCCTTCATACACATTGGACATGGATTTCCAGATAGAGCAGTAGAGGTGAGAAGCTTGGATTAGTGAAGAAACAACAGAGTATTGAAATTGATGGAGCCAATGTTGGGTCCTTCCAGACTGCCCAAGATGAACAGAATGGACTTGCTCTCTTGTAATCATCTTGTGATCTTTTTGAGAGGTCACTATCGATCAGTTGACGGATCCCATAAATTGGGAACATAACTGTAGGGACCCACCTCAGGCATGACCTCAGATCAGGGACTAAGGACAGGAGTTTCACTGTCATTGTGGATTGTTGCCAAACTATAAGCATCTACTCTGGGCCTTCCTGGAAATCGGTTTCTGCAACACCTGATGAACCAGATCTTCATAGTCACAACCTTTAGTTTGGCAGAAATGCAAAGATTTACAGACTATATCAGGGATTAGTTTGCATCAGTATAAGCTCTTAAGATTGTCAACAACCAAAGGCTCATAATTTGCTTGACTTTACTACTCCTGTCTCCCA